TTGGTAGTTTAAGAAAATTTCATTTCAGGATAGTGACAAGTATCATACACTATGGGCTTCTCTTCAATATGGAGAAGTTGTCGGGTTCATTGTACTGGAATCTTGTGTACACTGGTGTTATACGTTATACGTTCAATATTATCGCTGGTGCTTCAGATAGAATGTTTCCATTTGTTGGTCGAAAATTTATTCATCTTGGCTCTCATCTGTTCGTTTCAAGCACTATCGGCGCTGTTGTTCTCATCAACATACTGGGTAAGATCCAATCACGTAACACTACGATCAGAGAGCCAGTCTATTTGGTCAGACGATCACCTCTGATAAACTCTTCAAGAAACTGTACGAATATTTTCTTAAGCTAGGATCAGTCTTGATATGCGCAATGGACAAAGATAACATTCATGTGTGCATGGATGTATGCAAAATGCAGCCGAATTTTTCACTGTTCAATGACAATTCCAAAACATGCACGAAAATGTTACGCCTCGTTCAGGTGCAACGCATTCGTATGAAATGTTGATACGAGTTCTTGTGTTGTGTGGTGTTTCAATGACCAGCCAGCTGTATATTGTGAATATATTGTGTGCAGCTGAACTATTCCCAACGGCTATTCGAAATGTTGCCGATTCTCAACTGTCCATTTGGAATCGGACTGGTACAGTTATTGCACCGCAGATTTTCTTTTTGGTATGTGATAAGAACCTGGTTTCTATGTTTTATTATCATTCTTCTCTCAGTTTGTAAAACAAAGAGAAATTTTAAAGCAGAACAAGTAGAATCATGCATNCTCGCACTTTTAGGCAGACATTTGGGATGGCTTACCGTATGCGTTCATGATGTTCCTGTGTGTTATTGATTCAGTTATATTCCATTATTTCATTCCTGAAACGAAGGATCAGCCGCTGATTGATGCCATGCCTGAGGCAGACCTCCTCAAGAGAAAGTCCAAAAATCCAGAAAGGAGCTGAACAACCCAGAGAATTGATCCGTCTGAGTGATCATGAGGAGAGCAAAGAATGTCAATGGAGAGAGTATTCTGAGAATGCAAATTATTCCTCGTTTTTCTTTGCCATGATTTATGTGAAGGAATGCTTCGATGTACACATGCACTTAAATACTTTTACATGAAACTTGAATATCCGCAGTTTTTGAAATTTAAAGTCAGTGAAGGAGTTGGTTGATGATTAACCGTATCGGTTGAAATTCACAAAATTATTCGCTGTTGTTTATCGCTTCATTGATTTCACTAACTCATGTCCAATAAAATATTTGTTAACAATATCAAATCCGTCGTTTTGCTGTTTTATGGAAAGCCAATTTCATTTCTAAGGAATTGTTGATTCTTAGACACAATTTTGAGTTCACTTTGAGTTTGAGGATGTTCTGAATGGTCCGCAGTAATTGTTCGCGGCAATTGCGAGTTCCCCGTGGGTGCTATTCTGATCTGTTGGTAGACACTTTCTTAAATGCCTTGATGTTCAGCCATCATAAATATTAGGTTTATGATTTCAATTAAAAATGGTTCACTGATTGTGCAACAAGCACTGCGAATTAATGCGTATAACAAGACTGGTAGAAAACCTATCATATCAAAACGAATGGCGGGTTTGAAGAATAACCAAGCATGATCATGTCCATTTCGTCTCGCTATCATGATGGTTCACGTTGATTGTGGTTGACGTGATCACTTAATATGTTTCGATCATGAAATTTATCGAGGATTCTTCAACTGATTTCACTTGACGGCTGCCGTTGGCACTTAAACAACGAATCGTGTCAATCACAAACAATTACGATCAACTTTTCATTGATATGTGATCCGGATTCAAATGAAACAGCGACTGCGCACATCATTTGAACATGAGTAAATGTTAATTGTAAAGATGAAATATTAATTTTACGAATAGAATATGAGAATAAATTTTGTGTATAACGATTGAAAATATTTTAAAAGAAGATTAAAATTACTGCGTCGATTATATAGAGAAATGACTCATGATTAGGATTTGCATTGGATCCCAGAATTCTTGCTTTTGAATCTCGACCCTGATCCCTGAATTCAGGTTCTGAAATACCTCCGGATTTCGGGACTTGATGAAACAAGCATTTTGAATGATTTTGGTAATATGCTCATCTCGAATCACACATTAATCATTCCCAGCCTATTCATCTACACTAATATTTGTTGTTTATCATAGAAGTCGCGATGAAAAAAAATCATTTTACAATGGCGCTGCCCCGACCTTCGTTTTTCACGAAAAACAGAATTTTTCTCAGAGAAAGAGAATTTCGTAACATCATTTCCGTTGCTCCGTATTTCATTATGACCGTTGCTTTGTTATAATTATAGTTATCTGCCTTTGTTATCTGCCATTTGTTAAAGTTCATCAATTTCGCATTTATTCATAAAATATTTCTCCAAACAATGCAATCTCCTCCGGGTGCATCAAAAGATACAATGAAAGGTCCGCATAAAGCAAAGACAACGTAAAAAAATCCGTCATTTGAAAATGACGAAATTCTAGTTGTTGTTGCGAAAGAGTAATTTTACTAATTGAATATGAGGGTAGAATGGGCCGTTAAGGGT